TACTACAAAACCATCAACCAGTTGCATAGGATTAAAAAATGTCAACACTCACTCACCCCGTCTTAAACATTCCCAAAGAAGTGCCTCTGTCTCTCGTTGTGCTGGATGAAGTCACTGGCGACGAGTAAACCCAAAATAGTCCCAAACAGGCGCAGAGGCATTTTTCTTTTTTACTAGTTGTCCGAGTTTGGGGCCGGCAAATGCTGCCGCCATCTTGCTCAGCTCAGCTCTGTGCTGAGCTCTGAGAGCGGGAAAGACGGACTGCCCTCCCCTGCCCTCTGCTGGCGCGTGCTGTGCATTACAACCAATGTCGTCCCTGTCAAAACTCCGTGTCAGTGTAATAGAATGAAACGCATCTGTGATTTGGCGCACAGTCTGTGACGTCACGGTATTGAAAATCATACCGACGGTATTTCGAAATACCCTGGTATACCGTAATACCGTCATACCGCCCAAGCCTAATTCATATTCGCTGTCCAGAACATGGTTTGGTTCAGAGATGATGTTGTTGGATGTCTCACTAGATTATTATGGTATGCTGACTCATAAAGTCTCTGACAGACTGAATGAATGCACAATTTCAAAACCTTGTTCAGTAATGTCGTAATTTTTTCCCCATTAGTGAAGTCGGCAATGGGACAACGAAATGCTCTCTGCCAACTTTACTCTTCCTATTGCTCACACACACTCGGAGATCAGCTTAAAATGAGAGGTGCTATACTACTGATTGTGAAACTGCATACTAACTCTAGGGCAAAAAGCTGGTAATTCCTTCAAAGTGGTGTAATACTGTGGGTGTCTTAGTAAAAAATCTGATTCAACATTTAAGCTTGGCTGTGTGCAGAAGCCTGATAAAAGCTCACATGCAGAGTTGTATGTAATAATTCTGGAGTAATTGTCTGATTATGTTCTGAGGATGTTATAATATTGTTGCTGGGGAACAACTGACCAGCTCTGAATTTGTGACCACAACTCTTAAAGTTGAAAAAAAAGGGACCACTCAAAAAGTGAAATAATGTGTCTTTCATGGTTTTTCCTTTTTGCTAGTGAGCTAGTTTCTTTGAGTATTACATGACTTCTGTCTCTCTCTGAAATGTCACTCCACTTCTCTTGGCTTATTGTGACTTTTTTTCTCCTTCTTTTGACAGCGATGTTATGAACACAAGCAGTACAGAAACGGGCTCAAGTTCTGCAAACAAATCCTGTCCAATCCCAAGTTTGCAGAGCATGGAGGTAAGCATCAGACATTTGAATGGATAGATGGATGAAAAGCAGGCAATATTATGTTCCATATTTCTCACTGTGTGGTGTTTCACTGTCCCCCTGCAGAGACCCTGGCAATGAAGGGACTGACCCTGAACTGTCTGGGGAAGAAGGAGGAGGCCTACGACCTGGTGAGAAGAGGCCTGCGCAATGACCTCAAGAGCCACGTCTGTATCCTTACCCACGTCATCATTTGTGTGTTATTAAAGTAGATATGCTCCAGGTTAAGTGGGTAAAACCTTGAGCTGGTGTGTCTCTCTTGAAAAAATGAAGGACCTTGAGATGCCACACATTGTGGAGCTCTGAGTCAGCACTTCTCTGTTCTCTTTCTGTCTCTCCCTGTGACTCCCAGGCCAAAGGGAAATCTGTTAATTCTTCCAGCAGATAGTGCTGGGCCGCCTAATCCCATAGTCAACTCTTCTCTGAGCAGGAAACACACTGCTGTCGTTTTTAACCTCACCAGTCACTCTTTAGCTTAAGAACCTGTGGTAAATATGTTGTGATTTTGTCGTTTTTACTTTGATAAGTTTTGAAGAGCAGAGACTAGACAGCAAATCAACATTAATATTAATCAGAAGAGATTTTGATCAATTGGTCCTCCAGGGAAGTGTGATGGACATTTTTCTGACCTGTTTTTAGATTAAAGAATTCAACCATATAATAATAAAATGTTTGATTAGGTCAAGCTCTATTTAAACAAAAAAATTTGGGCAATTGTTCTCATTATATCACTTATGAAAATGTATTTATTTTATTTCAAATAATCATTATGAAGTGATTGATAACACAATAAGAATTGTTGATTTATCCTGGTGGAAATAGGGTTTTGTGACAGTTGCTCAATTTTAAAATGAGAAATAATCTGTTAAAAAAACGTAGTTCATGTAAAATGTCATGTAAATGATCAATATAATACAATTATGTATATAGTGTATATAAACATAGGAAGTTGAAGTTATAATCTACACATTGTGCTACAATACAGACACTGCAACATATTACATTATATACAGAGGTTTAAGTCAAATTGATTGTCCACTCTAACCAGGAGAGCTTCGTTAGTGATCACAACTCTTGTTTATAACCTTTTTAATAATAGTTTGATTTCATCAGAATCAATGGAGATTATTCCATAACTCCTCGTGCACCAGGCTGGCACGTTTACGGCCTACTGCAGCGCTCGGACAAGAAGTATGACGAAGCCATCAAGTGTTACCGCAACGCTCTGAAGTGGGACAAGGACAACCTGCAGATCCTCCGAGACCTGTCCCTGCTGCAGATCCAGATGAGAGACCTGGAGGGCTACAGGGTGAGCTGCCAGGGGGTTCATGAGCGGTGCTTTCGTATTTGATCCTGTGATGCTTATGATCGTAGCATCATTCTAGTGACATCATCAAAATGTATAGGGAACACGGCTCAAATTACTTTTCAGATTGCTTTACATTGTTTTATTTAACATGTGTAAACTTGCCTTGGCACTTCACTTTTGCCGCTCCCAAGCTCCTTCCCTGTTTCCCTCAGGATACAAGTACACACACACCCAATGCGCATGGCTTACACGAGAGTTAGTGAAAGTCTAATTTAAGTGGCTTAAAAAAAAAAAATTAGTTAGTCATTTCACATTATCGCTTACTTGGCAACTTTACTTTGTAATAAGAGAATAAAATAACTTTGTGGAATACACACTCCCATCTGTCGCTCTGCCTTATCCAGGACCAAGTTTGGCACTGATTTAGGGGAGGACTGAGCATATCAGTAGGCAGTCGCAGGTTACAGCCAGGCTTCGCAATGTAGAACAGCTTTCGCAGGACACAGCCTGGGATTTAGATGCTTATTAGTACAGTGATGCAAATAAGTCGCTTTTCGGCGCCTCCCGCTTTTTTAACGCTGATTTGGGTGACTTGTGTAATTCGTGGAGAACCGAAGAGTTTTTGTTTC